GATCACGCTCTCCTCCTTCAAACTCTTCAATCGCTCGGTTTCTATGACTTTGTCCTCTCTTGGTTTTCCTCCTATCTCTCCCAACGCTCATTCAGTGTCTCCTTTTCCAAGCATACCTCCTCCCCTCGTCCTGTCTTGGTTGGAGTTCCCCATGGCTCTGTCCTTGGTCCCCTTCTATTTTCTATTTATACTGCCTCTCTTGGCAAGCTTATTGCCTCTTTTGGATTCAACTACCAACTGTACGCTGATGACACTCCCCGGACCTCTCCCCTGCCGTCCTGCAACGTGTCACTGCTTGCCTTTCTTCCATCTCTGACTGGATGTCCTCACACTTTCTGAAACTCAATCTCTCTAAAACTGAACTCCTTGTCTTTCCTCCTCCTTATACTGTTACTCCTCTCTCACTCTCCCTTCAAGTCAGTGATATCCACATAAGTCCATCCTTGCAAGCACGTTGTCTTGGCGTCATACTTGACTCTGGCCTCACCTTTGAGCCTCACATCCAGTTTGTTGCCAAATCCTGTAGGTTCCAATTCAAAAACATAGCCCGCACCTGCCCCTTTCTTACGCAAGATGCTACCAAAGAGCTTGTCCATGCTCTAGTAATTTCTCGCATGGATTACTGTAACCCTCTCCTGATTGGTCTCCCCAAAAGCCGTATTGCCCCACTACAGTTTGTAATGAATGCTGCAGCTAGACTGAATTTCCTCTCTAGTCGGTCCTCTCACACATTACCCCTCTGCCAGTCCTTACATTGGCTCCCTGTATCCTATAGGAGTCATTTCAAAGTGCTAACCCATACATTTAAAGCACTGAACAATTCTAGCCCCTCTTATATCTCCTCAATGATCCAAATCTGTTGGTGCTATATAAATGGCAATAATAATAATAATAATAGTCTTACCCTGGAGCTTGTTCCCCTCATCCAGATTAATGATTTTACCGAACAGTGCCCTTCTAAGTTGTATAGAAACAAACGCAGGCGATGATGGAAGTCCAGCGATGTTCGGGAGTTTCTGTATACAATTTTAGTTCCATGAGATTCATGCCCAAACACCACTGCCTGCGTTCATGCGAATAATATGGCCGCCACCTTGTGGTTGTCCATAGGAATTGAGGCCACCCAGACGAACAATTGGAACACTGCCGTGAGAAACGTTTCA